ATTCTAAACTAGTAATGTGAATGGTTTTGATTCTGTGTTTCTAAATTAGTAAAGTTGACTTACCTGAAATTCTTAGTTTTCTGCACATGAAACTCAAGATAGAAGTTAGCATAGAGAGGTGACATGGTTAACAGCCTGGGTTCTGCAATCAGACATATTTGGTTGCAATGACTCCTTTTTCACTATTTATGTGGGTAAACTGGGCAAATTACCTACCTTCTTCAATACTCAGTGTTCACATAGTGAAAGTACACATTGGATTTCTATGTGGATCAAGTTAGAAGTGATAAGGCATGCAAAAATCTTAGCACAGTGTTTGACACATATAATGTTTATTTTTGTACCTTAATTTTTATTCTTTTGTGTACTTCTCAAATCACTAGTAAATAAGACTAGACATTCTTATAAAAATAAAAATCTTTTCAGTGGCCTCACACAAAACCTAACACATTCTTGGCACGTACATCATTTTCATGATTGACATAAATTCATGGAAATCTTCATAAGCAACTGGATAGCACACGATTAGATAAAATAGTGACCTTTTGAACTTACATTCCTAATATTCCTAATTACAAAATATTCTTTTGTTTCTAAGAATATAGTCAATGCAATTATTGTTTTTTTTTAATATGGTTGTTAATTTTATAAAATATTTCCCAAATTCTTTTATAGGAAATAATAAAAAGGAGCTCTGTTTATTTGTGTAAGTTTGAATACAAATAGGGTTTCTTACCAGTGACACAAAATAGAATGACATTGTGTTTAACAGCATGCAGCCCATTATTCGAGGAAGAACATAAATGGATCAGAAATCCTACTGGATGGAAATGTTAAATATCATTCTGTATAATAATGACTACTCAAAATCTGATTTTAAAATATGTATAACTTAAGCCTGACAATGGTAAACTTTCTTAAGAATTAACTAAATAATGTGCCATCTGAAGCAAGTAATTTTCTCGCTATCCAAATCATTTCTTCTATAACTTCAACAGATCGATATAAAGCTGATGCCATAAAAGAAAAACAATTCTAATTATTATTTTTAAAGTTATTTATTTCTTGTTAATTTGATATGAGTTGGATTGCTTAAGGCTCAAAATTCATTTTTATTCTTGTTCTTTGTAATATATGAGGACTTATGAAAACTTCTAAAATTCTAAATTACATTATGACAAAATATTTTGCTTCATAGCCAGTGTGCTCTTTGATTCAGAAACAATGGAGTTTTAGGACTGAAGTAGGTGAAGTGGGTTGGGACAAGGAAAGGGATGAAAAGTAAACATGAATTAAACAAAAGATAACATATCGTTTAAAAATTATTTTAAATATTTATCACACTTCTGGATTTTATTTTTATTACCTTTCAAAGAAATACTTAGTAATACTATCTGGATATCCAAAGCTCCTTTTATATCACAATTTCTTTAGGACTTTGTGAATATATCCAACAGACTTAGACCTCAGGAATGATGATAAACAAAATCACAAATATTAATTTGGACATGGTTTCTGACATTCAAAGTATAACCAAGCTATGAAAAATATTAATTCTATACTTTATTGAGATAGTAATGTTTATTCTACAATGTATCAAAGAAAGTTGTATTATGTATTTAATCAAATTTTCCACAAGGAATTTTTGAAATTTTAAATTAAAAAATACAATGCAGTCCCTCAAAAATATAATTTTTCAGACTTATTAGGGAATGTTGGTATAGTGGCAGAGTTATTTAATAATATAAAAATATCAGTATAAAATTATGCATAGAAAAGAGAAGTCTAATAGTAAGGAACAGATTCTTCACATTAAGAAGCTACAAACAAAATGGAAAATTAAATTTAAAGTAAGTATAAGAAAAGAAATGATATAGATAAATAGAAATGTGGCAAACAATAAGGAAAAATAATAAAACTAAAAGACAAATTATTGAGAACTTTAATAAAATTGACAACCCCCTACCTAGACTGATCAAGGAAAAAAAAAAGAAGAAATGAAAACATCCCATGTAAAAAATGAAAAAATTAGAATACTTCCCAACTCATTTTATAAGCCTAATCCTGATGAAAAACCTGACAAAAATACTACAAGAAAAGGAAATTACAGAATGATATTCTTCATGAACAAAGATGCAAATATTCTCAATAAAATATTGGCAAATTAAAACCATAAATATAGTAAAAGTACAATACTTTATGATCAAAAAGCTATATCCCAAGGATTCGAAGTTAGTTGATTTGAGTATCAATCTATGAAATGAAAGACATTAACAGAAAATTGGGAAAAAGCATATGATCGTCTAAAAATATGAAAGGAAGAGCATTTGACAAATCTGAAAGCCATTCATGATTAAAAGTTCTCAGCAAACTAAGAACAGAAGGGCATTTTTGCAGCCTAATATAGAACCATGATAAAATACTCAAGGCTGAGAAAGCAGTTTCCAATTCTGCATGTAAGGAGCTTGGAAGTCTCCACTCCAACCTAACAATAAGTAAAAAGCTGAACAGACTGAGTAATCAAAAACTTTTGTTGGATCCATAGAGAGCAGAGGACACAGGGCAAAGTGCTGCCCCCAAGGGAGCCATGGATTATCAGATCCATGAGAAGGGAGTCATGGATTATCAGATCAGGGACTCACAAGAAGAAACCCCCACAGGAACCAGGGCCAGAAAGAAAATCCGAAATGGTAATTGATGCATTGCTGGAGACTCAGTGTGGGCAGGTCTGAGGGTTAAAAATTCCAGGGGACCCAGTCATAAGGGGAAACCCACAATTTTATAACACTTATCTCCTGGAGCTTAACCAGGTTTCCATAAGTAAATATAAGTAACGTAAGTAAATATCTGAGAAAGATCCCCTTGTACTTCCAGCAAGAGACAAGGAAAAGGAACCACTTTGATATACACCATAGCACTCTGTTCATAAAAAGGGCTGTCATCAAGGGAAGCAATTTAACCAGAGCCTAGCCCACTGGGGTTTCATCACAGCCTGACATGGAGGAAAGAAAATACCCAACTGTAACCTACTCTATACATCCTGTCCCAACTGAAGGAGGAGGAAAATACTGAGAAACTCTTGTGAAGTTTACTGTCCAGAAGCATAGGCTCACTAAAAGACTGAGACCTATCTACATATGCATAATGAGAATACCAGAGAGGAAGCAAGAGAAAAAATATTTGAAATAACAATGACTGAGAATTTCCCCTAAATTAATGTCAGACACCAAACTATAGATACAGGAAGCTCAAAGAAATCCAAGCAGGATAAATGCAAACAAAAAGCAAACAAACCAAAGAAACACACTACACCTAGGCATATTATTTTCAAATTACAGAAAATCAAAGCTAAATAAAAATCCTGAAAAAAGTCAGAGGACAAAAACACCTCTCATATAGAAGAACAAACAAAAGTATTACATCTGACTTCTCAGAAAGCACGCAAGCAAGAAGAGAATGAGATGAATAAAGTGTTGAGAGAAAAACCCCACCAACCTAGAATTCTGTATCCTTCAAAAGTGAAGGAAAATAAAGACTTACTCAGACAAACAAAAATTGAGGGAGTATGTCTCCAGTAAACATGCCTTGCAAGAAATGTCAAGAGAGTACTTTAGAGACAAAGAAAATAATTTAGGTCAGAAACTTGGATTTACATGAAGTAAGGAAGACCATCTAAGAAGGAAAAGTGAAGGTAAAATAAAAACTTTTATTTTTCTTATTTTTAATTAACCTAAAATATAACAGTTTATCAAAATAATAATACCTACAATGTATTTGATCATGTGTGTATATATCTCATATATATGTATAATTATATACATATATATGTGTTTATATATAAGTGAAATGAATTATAGTAATGACACAACTGACAGGAAGGGGGAATTAAGATTGTTTTGTTAGCATAAGTTATGTACATTATCCGTGAAGTCCACTGTATTTGAAAGTGGACTTAGATTAGCTGTAAATGAATATTGCAATCTCTAGGGCAACCACTAAAGAAGTAAGAAAGGAAGTATAACATATTCTAAGAATGGAGAAAAATGAAATCATATAAAATGTCCATTTTGGAATTCCCTGGTGGTCCAGAGGTTAGGACTCTGTGCTTTGATTGACGGGGCAAGGGTTCAGTCCTTGGTCTGGGAACTAAGATCCCCCAAGCTGTGCAGCACAGCCAAAAAAAATTTTTTTTAATTAAAAAAATATAAAATGTCCAATTAAAACCCACAGAAATGCAAAGTGTGGAAGACAAAAATAGGTACAAAGAACAAGGGCAACAAGTAGAAAAGAGTAATGAATATGGTAGATATTACTCCAATTATGTCAAATAATCACTTTGAATGTCTGGTCTAAATGCACCAAATATAATAAGATAGAGAATATTAGAGTAGATCAAAAAACAAGACCCTACTGTATGTTGTATACAAGATACCCACTTTAAAGACACATATAGATTAAAAGTAAATAGATGGAGAAAAAATATATCATGCTAACACTAATCAAAAGTAAACAGGAGCAGCTCTATTAGTTTCAGACACAGCAGTCTTCAAAGCAAGGAAAGTTATCATGAATAAAGGAGAGCATTACATAATGATAAAAGGGTCAATTCTCCAAGAAGACATAACAATCCTTAACACGGAAATGCCTAACAACAGAGCATTGAACTATGTGAGGTAAAAACTGGTAGGGGCTTCTGTGGTGGCGCAGTGGTTGAGAGTCCGCCTGCCGATTCAGGGGACACGGGTTCGTGCCCTGGTCTGGGAAGATCCCACATGCCACGGAGTGGCTGGTCCCGTGAGCCATTGCCGCTGAGCCTGCGCGTCCAGAGCCTGTGCTCCGCAACGGGAGAGGCCACAGCAGTGAGAGGCATGGGGATATATGTATATGTATAACTGATTCACTTTGCTATAAAGCAGAAACTAACACACCATTGTAAAGCAATTATACTTCAGTAAAGATGTTAAAAAAAAAAAAGAAAAGAAAAAGAAACGGGTGGCAGGAAGAAAACAGGAAGGACATAGTTAAACTCAACAACACCATCAGTCAAGTGGATATCATGGACCTCTACTGACTATTTCATTCAACAACAGGGTACACATTCTTCTCAGGCTCACACAGAACATTGACAAAGAGAGACCGCATTCTGGGCAACAAAATACACAACAAATTTAAAGGGATAGCATAGAAATCATATATGTTTGCCCTCAGACTGCAATGGAATTAAACTAGAAATCAATAATAGAAAGATAGCTGGAAAAACTTATAGCTAACCTAATACTCGTTATGTTAAGTGTACACCCTACAGTCAGGACAGAAGTGTATTCACTCACACCACTTCCATTCAAATAATAATTTTTTCATAATCTGTTTTTAAACTGCATTATGTGGAAACACTTTGGAAGGGGTTCTGGAGTTACAGAAGGAGAAAGATGTGAAAAGGTTCAGTGGATATGCTCCAAGAAACACTTCCCAAATTTAATTATAGCAATCTTGTTTATCTGTTGTATACATTGGAATACTTTGTAAGAGTTACTTTTAAAAGAAAAGTTTTAACTTCAAAAATGTTGGAACTTTGCTGGAATTAATAATCTCTTAAATATCTCAAATTATGTGATTTGGGTTAAAGATAGTAATCACTAAATAGTTAGACTTACAACTTCCAGGAAGAAACAAATTTCTGGCAAGAATCTATATGCTAATTTTTATCTTGTCTAAAATTTTTAGTTAGAACTTCTGTAACAATAAGGAAACCTCTCATTTCAAAATATTCATTTTAGTAATATT